CCTGTGGGTAGCCCGCTCTGCCTGAGATGATCGGGGTGGCTCCTGGGTTCTGCAGGCGGGGAGATCAGGCTTTATGCCAACCAGCTCAGTGATGGATCCATAAGAACACATACCTGTCTGTGCCCACACTCTAAGCTTGGGGAAGTTCCAGGCCCTGCACCCCAACAGGCAAGGGGCTCCATATTCAGAGCAGAGAGTCAACTGCTCAGAGGAGCCAACAGACATCAGGAACCCCGATCTGCATTGGAGGAATGAGGTCTGCTTCTCCTGGACAGTGCTCCTCTTCAGGAAAAGCTGCAGTTTCCTCCTCCTGACCTGAAGTCCTGGGTCTCCTGTGTCCCCAAGGGCTGACTCCCCTCTTTCCTCTCAGGAGTTTCTGACAGCTAGCCTCAAGACCAGAGCAATGAGCTCACCTCTGGCCTCTCTTAGCAAGACACGGAAGGTGCCCCTAGAGTCGGAGCCTGTGAATCCTGGGTAAGGAGCCAGCTGGCCTCTAGGTCCTTGTGCCCCTGCCCTGTGTCCTTCTTGCCCTTTCCCTCACCAGAGGAGAATGACCATAGTGTCTAGGGGAAATACAGAGATACAGAGAGCAGTTGGTGGCTTTCTGTGGCTACCTTCCTTCTCTCTATGCCTCCGGGAACACTGCTTTGTATGGACCAAAGATCGGGTGGTGCTTTGTGGAAGGCCTGGCCCCGTGAGAGTCCTTGTCATTCACTGTTCACTCACTGGCTCTGCAGACAAGAGTGTCCTGTCAGCCTGGGCTCTTAAGTGCCAGCGCCGTATATCTTGTTCCGGTCCTCTTGTAAAGCTTTTTTCTTCTTCTTCTTCTATTATTATTATTATTATTATTATTATTATTATTATTATTATTATTGGTTTTTCAAGACAGGGTTTCTCTGTGTAGTCCTGGCCATCCTGGAACTCTCTCTGTAGACCAGACTGGACTCAAATTTACAAAGATTCACCTGCCCCTGCCTCCAAAGTGCTGGAGGCATGTGCCACCACACCTGGAGCAAAGCTTTTTCTACATCCTGTTTCCTTGTTGCTCTTCTGAACACACTTGGAGTCTTGCTTAGGCCAGGGTGATCCAGGGAGGCTAAGCAGCAAGCCTGGGCCCACTGTGCTTCAGAGAGGAGCTAGGGCCAGCTCCATGGGCTGTGGAATCTTCTCACCAAAAACGGTCCTGCAGTGTCCCTCCGTCTTTCTCTTTTGGGAGCAGTTAAACACTGTACAGCATGTTGTCCCTCAGCTCACCCTGGCTAAGGACAGCTTGGATGGGGGGAGTCTTCAGGAGACAGAGGCTTAACCTCTATCTCTTTTAGCCTTGCATGGGGCCTGGAAACTTCCCTTGGTGGCATTCCAAGAGGCTTAATTTGTATTTGTTCCTTCTTCCTGCCTGGGTTCCCAGGAGGCGAGGGATAAGGATCTACGGAGATGGTGAGTGTGTGCTCTGCCCGTGCCCCTCCCCTCTCACCTTACAACTGGGCAGCTAGGGAAAGAGCCGTGCTGAGGTCTTGTGAGGCTGGGCGTCTGGTCTGCTCCCTGTACTCTTCAGCTCTCGACCCTTTGCTCAGAGGTCTGGCCCTTGCCCTGCTCCTCAGCAGGAATGCCCACACTATCATAGAACTCCTCTGCCTAATGTGAGATGATTATGGGTACCTTGAACCTATGGAAAGACCAGGGATGTAGACCTCAGCCTTTGCCTATGCCTTCCCTCCCTGGAGCCCTGGCCTTATTGCTGACTTGACTGCGTACCCTTGGGGGGGAGGGCAGTATATAAGCTATTTCATCTTGGCCAGGGCCCAGGGCCAGAGTGCTTTCTGGGCTGTGGCACCAGAGCAGTGACCTCGGCGTTCCTGTCCGCAGAAGATGAGGTGGACATGCTGAATGATGGACACGACTCAGAAGAAAAGATCTCTGTCCCTTCATGCTATGGAGGCATTGGTGCCCCCGTGAGTAGGCAAGGTGAGAGCAGAGGGACAAAGGGCTGTGGGGCCCCTTGCTCACAGCAGCAGAAGAGGCTCTGGAGGTGGGGTGAGGACCTGTGACCCAGGGCTCCTATTCTCACCTGCTGGGTTGAGACATTGCTCCTACTTCTGGCTAGCTGCCCCAATGCCTGTATCCCCAAACCCATCCAGTACAGGATTTAACCTAAAGCCGCAGGTTGGGGGCCTGACCAACCCCCAGGCCAGACTGTGACTAGCACCTCTCCAGTCTCTAGCAAATGTGTTATCAGCAGGTCTGCAGTTCAGGTTCAGAGATGGAAGGGGAGCCTCTGGTCATCTGCTTTATCTTCAGCAAGGTCCAGAAGGGCTGAAAGTCCCATAGTAGGGTGTTCTTACCTGACTTTGTGTCTGCAAAGGCCTATATGGAGCTGCTTATAGTGGGGTGGGGACGGGGGAGAGAGGCCAGACAGGCACTGGGTAGGATCAGGGGAAGTTGGGGATGAACCCTGACGGCTTAAGCAACTTTAACATTTCCTTGCTTTCTAGCTCTCGCACAGGGTAATTAGAGCTGTGGCCACCATACTGAAGGATAGCAGGAGGTGCCTTAGACCAAACTCCTCTATTTGACATTGCAGAGGGTTAAAGTAGAAGAGACAGGACTTTCCTAGCCCAAGTCCCACAGTGACTTAATCAAAGACATGATCTCCTACACCTAGCTGGGGACAGCAGCAGTCATGCAACCGCCACCTTCTTCCCTTCTAAGGACCCTACATCCCCTCTCCTCCTCTCCCTGCCACTCCTAGCTGGTGTGTGTCTCCACCAAGGTCTCCAATAGGACCTGCCTCTCCTCCATTTCTCTGCTTAGCAGCCGCCTCGCCTGCCCCATTGCCTCCTTTTCAGATTAACTGCGCTGGCTAGATTGTTGATGGCTCTGCAGTCACCCATTGCTCCTAGGATCTTTCTTGCTTCCTCAGTGCCCCCTTGTCTTCCCCACTTCTCATTGTGGACTTTTCCTTCTCTCCATACTGCCCCAGTGAGGGCAGCATGCCCTGTATGCTGTTCCCACTTAAGGTGCTAGGTGGTGGTGGTGCACTCCTTTAATCCTAGCACTAGAGACACAGAGGCTGTCGGATCTCTGTGGGTTCGAGGCCAGTCTGATCTATAGATTGAACGTTCCAGGTCAGCTAGGGATGTTACACAGAGAAACCCTATCTCAAAAAACAAAACAAATGAAGAAAGGAAGAAAGGAAGGAAGGAGGGAGGAAGGAAAAAGGAACAAAACAAAAAAATGGCTTAAGATGCTTTTGGCAGCCGGACAGTGATGGTGCACGCTTTTATTTATTTTTATTTATTTATTAATTATGTATACAATATTCTGTCTGCATGTATGCCTGCAGGCCAGAAGAGGCACCAGACCTCATTACAGATGGTTGTGAGCTACCATGTGGTTGCCGGGAATTGAACTCAGGATCTTTGGAAGAGCAGTCAGTGCTCTTAACCTCTGAGCCATCTCTCCAGCCCCTGGTGCATGCTTTTAATCCCAGCACTCGGGAGGCAGAGGCAGGCAGATCTCTGTGATTTCAAGACCAGCCTGGTCCACAAGAGCTAGTTCCAGGAGTCTTTTGGCTCCAGGTTCCAGAGAACCCTGACTCCATGAACATACACACTAGGGAGCTGTATTATCCCTTGGGCAAAGAAGTCCTAAGGAGGCAACTCCAGGGCTGGTAATTCAGGGACTTGAAGATGACATCAAGATAGAGTTTGGTTTTCTTCATCTTTCT